GGTTTATTTTGGTGAATGGCTATTATCAAATTGCCAAACTCACCAACAGCTCCCTCTCTAAAATCACACGTTCAGATATTTAAAAATGGACATATCTTACAGTATGTGTCATGTATTAACCTTCTCTTTCCTAAGGTTATAGCAAGTTCCTGTTAAAGGTTCAAGTACATTAGGTATGTGTCAATATAATTATATTGTTCTCTGTTCTAGTGTGGGCAGCAATGTAGTGCAGCCTCCACGTGACACTGCCTGGGATCACTAGTGGCTACTACTGCTAGTGATGCTAAGAGCACTACATACAAGAAGAATGTCAAGGATCACCGTCAGAAGATAACGCTGAGTGGTCTTTAGTTTTAAAAAGATATTTTACTCAAAAAAATGAACAACAACACAACTACAACAATCACACATATATATATCCATCATACATCCCATACTCAGCACTCAGCTCCCCTTCTCTCATTGGTCATTGATTCGTTAGTCTCTTCAGGCGTTAACACCTGCTGAGGAAGTCTGCCTCTATGAGATATGTCTAGCACATTAGTTATTGTTATCCCATGGTGATCCATTACAAAGAATAGATACTAACAGTAACTATGTATGATGAATTACATTCCATTGGTAGGTTAATGACACTAAGAGGATAAGTACAATTCTCTGCTATTGAAGACTACATTGAGAAGTATTCTAAGTATAGTATTGTTCAATAATATGTTGTCATTGCTTGATTGCTGTTTGAAGCTGTACATTAACTGAAGACTATAAAGAATTACTTAATATTATAGTTTATAATAATTTTAGCATTTTTGTTTAATACACAAAGTTGTCTTTATCATTGATTATTATGAATTTTGATTAAAATTATTGCAAAAGCCATTAATGCAGAAGCAGGTGCAATGACTTATAAACAGAAATGAGATTAAATAATGAAAAATGACAATAAAATAAGAAACACTCTTCAGCCATACATGTCAACAATGATTTTAATTAATTAAACCAGTCTTATAGTGTTACAGTCCTTAGTTCCCAAACCCAGTCTATAGATCTTCAGTATATGAATGAGAGATCAGTCCTTGAAATAATGAGTTCAGCCTCAGGTCCACAACCTATAATAAATAATAAGAAATGATTAATGATACTTTACTGATAAACATAAAGTCCGACATAGATTTGATTCCAACAATAATTTGCTGACTTGCAGCCATTTTAAAAGTAGTAAATTTTGAAAAAAAAAGGACAAATGCTAATATTACATGGTTTTCTACAAAAATCTCGCCCAACTAATGGAGGGAAAACAATAACAAAAAAGTAGTAATTCCAGCAACTTTGAAAATTTTGAATCAATTAACTCAAACTTTCTACACAACATAAATACATGTACATGCATCAAAAATTGTAATAAAAATTGAGAGTTCTATTTAAAATTCATTATAAAAAATCCAATTTTGATGAAAATCAGCTCAAACGTTATACGCAACATAAGAATATGTATAAGTATCATAAAG